GTACCCCCTAGGTCTTCAACACACAGTTGCTCTCCCTCTCTGGATCTAAAGTTTCCAGCTGCTCCATCTCTCCAAGTCATCATCTCTGTCTCCATTTCAGGCATCACTACTTCTCTGGGTAGGGTCCCGCTCTCCTCTATTCTCCCCTGATGGTCCTAGAATCACTCCCCTCCTTGCTATAAAACGTCTACCTTTACATTTCCAACCCTCACAATCAGTCCTGGTAACAATTATTCACTATTGTATCACAAGAGACCAGACCTATGCCTTTTCTTCCAACCCTGCAGTTGTTGTTGTTAGGTGCTGACTCATAGCATCACTATGCACAACAGAACGAAACACTGTCCGGTCCTGGGCCAACCTCACCACTGTTTCCACGCTTGAGCCCATTGATGCTGCCACCTTGCCAGTCCATCTCACTGGGGGTCTTCCTCTTTTTTTCTGATCATCCACCTTACCAAACATGATATCCTTCTCCAGCGACTGGTCCCTCCTGACAATATGTCTGAAGTATGAGAGACAAAGTTTGGCCATCCTGATCTCCAAGGAGCACTCTGGCTGCACTTCTTCCAACACAGATCTGTTGGTTCTTTTGGCAGCCCAAGGCACTTTCAATATTCTCCTCCAACACCATAACTCAAATGCATCAATTCTTCTATGGTCTTCCTTATTCACTGTTCAGCTTTCACATGCATATGAGGTTATTGAGAATACCATGGCTTGGGTCAGGTGCACCTTAGTCCTCAATCTGACATTTTCTCTCTTCAACACTTTGTGCAAATGTGCCTAATGCACTATGCTTCCATGAGTATTGATGGTTGATCCAAGAAGAATGAAGTCCTTGACAACTTCAATCTTTTCTCCATTGATAAGAATGTTGTTTATTGGTCCAGAGGTGAGAATTTTTGTTTTCTTTACATTGAGATGCAATCCATACTAAAGGCTGTGCTCTTTGATTTTCTTCAGTAAGTATTTTAAGTCCTCCTCACTTTCAGCAAGCAAGGTCGTATCATCTGCATATCTCATGCCTCCAATCACCATGCCACATTTTTCTTCATATTATCCAGCTTCTTGTATTATTTGCTCAGCATACAGGTTGAATAAGTATGGTGAAAGAATACAACCCTGTTGAACACCTTTCTTAATTTTAAGCCATTCAGTGTTCCCGTGTTCTGTTTGAACAACGCCTTTTAGTCCATGTACAGATTCCTCATGAATACAATTAAGTGTTCCAGAATACTCATACTTTGCAGTGCTGTCCATAGTTTGTCATTGAAAGCCTTTGTGTAGTCAATAAAACACAGGTACACATCTTTTTGGTATTCTCTGTTTTCAGCCAAGATCCATCAGACATCAGAAATGATATCCATTGTTTCATGTCCTTTGCTGAATCCAGCTTGAACATCTCTGGAAGTTCTCTGTCGATGTATAATTGCAACCATTTCTGTATTATCTTTAGTAAAACTTTACTTGCATGGGATATCGAAGATATTATCTGATGATTTCCACATTCCATTGGGTCACCTCTCTTCGGAATGGGCACAAAATTGTCGCCCAAATTTCTTGGCAGAGATGAGTGCCTCCAGTGCTGCTTCAGTTTCTTGAAAGATTTCAATTTTTATTCCAACCCTGCAGAGCTACCTGTAATTTCCTAAATACACCATGTTGTTCTGTGCACTGCTGCCTTTATATATGTTGTGGCCCTTTTGTCCAGAAGACAACTTTCAAAACTGATCTTGTTTCAGTTACTCCCTCTCTGAAACCTTGTTTCATGCTCTCCTCCTGGCAGGTAGTTGCTTCTTTATGTTGTTGTTAGCCATCTTGGAATCTAACATTGAATCCCATTCACAGCAACCTCATGCACAATGGGAGGAAATGCTGCCCTGCCTTGAGCCATCCTGGTGATCAACTGCGGATCTGACCATTGTAATTTACAGCATTTTCATTGACTGGTCTTTGGATGTAGACCACCAGGCCTTTCTTCCTAGTATTTCTGTATCTGGAAGTTTTGCTGAAACCTGGGCAGCAGCACAATTGGCAATCCTCCACTGACAGGTAAGTGATGGCTGCACCTGAGGTGCATTGGCTGGTAACTAAACCTGTGTCCCTGCATAGGAAGTGAGAGGTCTATCACTGAACCACCAATGCCCTCTGTAACAATCTGTATTGCTTCTTCTAACAGTCTACATACTGGCTACTGCATTTATGACACAGTGATTTGCTCAGGAACCCTGGTAGTAGTGACCAAAGTGCTTTGTTGTTAATGGAAAGATCAGCGTTCTGTGGGAGAAAGATGTGGCCACAGGCTTCTGTAAAGACTTAAGGCCTTGGAAACCCTCTGAAGCAGTCCTATACTGTCCTAAAGAGTTGCTTGGAGAAGAATTTGATGCAACCACAATGGGTTTTGGTTTATGTGCTTGCTTCAAGCTGGATTCAGAAGAGGCTTGGAACGAGAGATATCATTGCTGATGTCCAATGGATCTTGGCTGAAAGCAGAGAATATCAGAAGGATGTTTACCTGTGCTTTATTGACTACACAAAGGCTTT